TCATAGAGACCCTATGTACAACAGAATAAAACACTGCCCAGTCCTGCACCATCCTCAAAATCGTTGTTATGTTTGAGATCATTATTGCAGTTACTGTGTTAATCCATCTCACAGAGGGTCGTCTTCTTTTTCTCTGACCATCTACTAAGCATGATATCCTGGGATCATGGAGGGACATGTTAACAGGAGGGACTGTCTAACATATGTAAGACGAAGTCTCACCACCTTCCCTTTTAAGGAGCATTCTGGCTGTACTTCTTCCAAGACAGATTTGTTTTCCTCTGGAAGTCCGTGGTATTGCAATATTGTTTGCTTGAATCCAAACTGATACAGCTAATGAGAGGCTAAGCTGAGACTAGATATTAGGCTCTATATTTCTAGTCCAGGCACTAATTGGGTAAACCTGCCAACTGGAAGACTAGCCTCTCCTCTTGGTCTGAATCACTCTTATCTTACCAAAGGGAGCACAGGCTGTCTAAATTTAGAACCGTTATTCTACTATACCTCTAGTGCCTAGAACATGACCTGACACCATGTGAGCCCTCCGAAACTAAATTAAATGTTAACCATGGCATGTGTGTACTTCACACAGCTCCTCCAAACTATTTTTAACCTCTATAGATGGCTAGGGGAGCTCTGGTGGTGTAGTGCCTAAGGCATTTGACTGCTAATCAGAAGGCTGTCTGTTCAAACCCACCAGCCACTCCTGGGGAAGAAGATTGGCCAATCTACTTCCGTAGAGATACCACCTTGGAAACCCAAGGAGGGATCACTATGAGTTGCTCTCTGGCAGTGAGGTTTATTTATTTATTTTTTTAAATAGATGGCTAGACCCACTCTGGCTAACAGACTGCTGAGAGATTGAAGGCACTCTCTAAGGTGAAAGAGGGGAAGGCTCTCAGTGAGATGGATTGACACAATGGCTGCAACGTGGAGCTGGTGCGGGACCAGGCAATGTTCCCTCCTGTTATGCGTGGGGTCATTATGAGTCAGAGACAACTTGACGGCACCTAACAACAACAGCAACAACAATGGTGTTACTTGGTGGTTGCCTTGTCAACAAAATTAAATGGATATAGAGTTTTCCGGTAGATTATTCAAATGGAGGCTTTAAAGCTAGACTATAGTTCTGACTGTGAACCCTAAATAATGCAAGTTATTAGGCCTGGCACACAGTAGGCACAACATAAATACTTGCTGAAAGAATGAAGATGTGGATAAAACTAGTGGCATCAGGGAGCCAGAAGAAGTAGCAGTGGAGAAATGATTTGCTAGTTTAAGTTAATTTGGAGCAAGTTTACTCATGTCTTTCCTTGGGAATGGTGTAGCCTTGGATTTTAATAATTACCAAACAGCGTGTGGGTAAAATGATTTATCTGATTCCAATAGGCTTCCTCTGATTTTCAGGCCACTTACTACCTCTGTAAACCAGAGGAAGACTTCCCCAGAGAGGTATGTTGCAGACATGGAAAAGGTAACTCGTCCTGGGCTACCATTTGAAGCCCTTTTATTTAGTGGATCTGAGTTTAGTTCCTTTAGGGTAGTTTTTCAGAGCTCTGGTAGCATAGTGCCTAAGGCATTTGACTGCTAACCAGAAGGCCGGCAGTTCAAACCCACCAGCCACTCCTTGGAAGGAAGTTTGGGTGATCTACTTCCGTAGTGATACTGCCTCGGAAACCCAAGGAGGGGTCACTATGAGTTGGGTCTGACTCGATGGTACATAACAACAACAACAGAGTAGCTTTTTGGCAATTTTAATCAACACATTTAATAAATGAATTTTTAATTAAATAGCCCCTCTCGTCCAAAAGGATTCCTGGGTGGCACAAACAGTTGAGTGCTTGGCTGCTAACCAAAAGATTGCAGATTCCAGTCCACCAAGAAGCAGCTTGGATCCCAGTTATCTATCTCTGGGAAATCAGTCAGTAGAAATCAACCCTACGGAGCATAGTTTTACTCTGGCACACAGGCAGTTGCCTTGAGTCAGAATCTACTTGACAGCAACTGGTAAGCACCTACACTTGTGTCAGGTTGTCAAAACAACAACCGTTACTCTAAGATAATTAGCTATTTACAGTTCAAATAAAATCCTCCCTCGTCAGTAGATGGATGGATAAACAAAATGTGATATATCCATACAATGGAGTATTATTCAGCCATGAAGAGAATGAAATTTTGATACCTGCCACAAAATGGATGAATCTTGAAAACATTATGCTAAATGAAGTATGTCAGATACTGAAGGACAAGTATTGTTGTTGTTGTTAGGTGCCATCGAGTCAGCTCCAACTCATAGTAACCCTATGCGCAACAGCACGAAACACTGCCTGGTCCTGTGCCAGCCTAAAAATCCTTGCTATATCTGAACCCATCATTGCAGCCACTGTGTCAATCCATCTCATTGAGGGCCTTCCTCTTTTTAGTTGACCCTCCACTTTACCAAGCATAATATCCTTCTTCAGGGAATGGTCCCTTCTTACAATCTGACCAAAAAAGTGGGTCAGATGAAGTCTGGCCATTTTTGCTTCCAAGGAGCATTCTGGCTGCACTTCTCTTCCAGGACAAATTATTTAGGCAGTCCATGGCACTTCAAGTATTCTTCGCCAATACCACATCTTAAAAGCATCAATTCTTCTTTGGTCTTCTTTATTCATTGCCCAGATCTTACATGCCTATGAGGCAATTGAAAACACCATTGCTTGGGACAGGCACACCTTAGTCTTCAAGGAGACATCTTACCTCTTCAGCACTTTAAAGGGGTCTTTTGCAGCAGATTTGCTCAGTGCAATACGTCATCTGATGTCTTGACTGCTGCTTCCATTGGTGTTGATTGTGGAACCAAATAATATGAAATCTCTGACAACTTCAATGTTTTCTCCATTTATCATGATGTTGCTTACTGGTTCAGTTGTGAGGATTTTCGTTTTCTTATGCAGAAGTGTAATTCATACTGCAGACACTAGTCTTTAGTCTTCATCAGTAAGTGCTTCAAATCATCCTCACTTTCAGCAAGCAAAGTTGTATCATCTGCATATTGTAGGTTGTTAATGAGTCTTTCTCCAATCCTGATGCCATGTTCTTCTCCATGTAGTCCCACTTCTTGGATTATTTGCTCAGCACAGATGGAATAAGTATGGTGAAAGGATACAACCCTGACACACTTCCTTCCTGATTTTAAACCATGAAGTATCCCCTTGGTCTGCTCTAATGACAGCTTCCTGGTCTACGTAGAGGTTCCTCATGAGCACAATTAAGTGTTCTGTAATTCCCATTCTTTTCTATGTTATAGCTGGACAATAATAAGGAAGACTGAAAAAGAATTGATGCTTTTGAGATGTAGCATTGGTGAAGAATACTGATAGCACCATGGACTGTTAAAAGACCTAACAAATCTGTCCTGGAAGAAGTGCAGCCAGAATGCTCCTTGGAAGTGAGAATGGACAGACTTTATCTCATTGCTTTGGTCATGTTGTCAGAAGGGACCATTCCCTAGAGAAGGATATCATGCTGGATAAAGTGGAGGGTCAGTGAAAATGGGGAAGGCCCTTGACTAGATTGATTGACACAGTGGCTACAAGGATGGGCTCAGGTATAGCAGGGATCTTGAGGATGACACAGAACTGGGCAGTGTTTCTTTCTGTTATACATAAGTTTGCCATGACTTGGAGATGACTTGATTGGCACCTAACAACAACAACAACTTAATGTTATCCATAATTTGGATAGGTTTCAGCAGAACTTCTAGACTAAGACAGACTTGGAAGAAGGAATGGGCCATCCACTTCTCAAAGAATTGGCCAGTGAAAGGACAAATAGTGTATGATAACACACTACATTATATTATTATAGTATCACTGCCATGGAGTCAGATCTGACTTATAATGACCCCTCCTTGGGTTTCCGAGGCAGCTCCCTGTTTTTTTTTTTAAATCACTACAGAAGTAGATTGCCCAATCTTCCTTCTGAGGAGTGGCTGGTGGGTTTGAACTACCAGCCTTCTGGTTAGCAGTGCAATGCCTTAGGCACTACACCACCAGAGCTCCTAGACTAGGAGTTTTCCAAAACAGTTTTTTTTTTTTTTTTTTTTTTGGTTTAATTTTTTAAAGCGGAGTCATCGGGATACCTCAGAAGAAAAGACACCTACTTTAGTGGTGTAGTGCCTAAGGCCCTTGACTGGTAACTAGAAAGCTGGCGGTTCAAACCCACCAGCCCCTCCTTGGAAGGGAGGTTGGACAATCTACTTTCATAGCCTTGGAAACCCAAGGAGGGGTCGCTATGAGTGGCATCCAACTCCATAGCACTGAGTTTGGTTTGGTTGGCTAGCATGACAATCTCACCTTCTTCAGGGGAAGGGGGCATGGCCTCAGAGACTGGGGTATGAGTGGGGAAGCTTGTTGCTTTAACCATTTATCTACAACCTATACACTTCATTAGATTGAGTTCTGCAGGTTAATTTAGCGCCAGAGCACTCCGCTCTAGATTCCCCAGGTTCGTTATTGGGGGATGTTCTCTCCCTATTTCTTAGGATGAAGAGATCCTAAAATAATCACCCGAACCTTTCTGCCTGCAGATTTTCAAAGATGCCCGCCATGCTTCGTTTTCACACCCACACTCCCCGCTTCCCAGTAAAGTGTAAAGTGCAAAAACCTTGCCAGGGCCTGCAGAAGCGCAGCGCTTCCGAGACTGGCACTCTTCTCCCCTTCCTCCTCCGGGAATGATCCTAGCATCTCTCCATGATGTCAGTGGAATCCTGAGCCGGATTTCGCTCAACGGCTGGGGGAGGACAGACTGAGCTACCGGCCTCTGGGCAGAGCAGAAATCACCCACGGCTTGCGACCCGGGACAGCGCGCCCAGGGATCCCCTGGGGGCGTTGACTCCCGGGCCCCGCAAGGCGCGGAAGGCGCTGGGCTGCCGCGGCGCCACCCCCGCTGGCCCGCGCCACGCTCCGCCCTGGCGGCCGATCGGTCCCCGCGCAGGGGTGCGTCGGGGGGTGGAAACGGGCCCGACTCAGCCTGATTTACGGCTCTGCTGAAAACCGCTTCGCTCCCGCAGCATCAGTAGTACCAGACGCGGCGGCGGCGGCGGCGGCAGCAGCTGCAGTTGCAGCAACAAGTCGGGTAAGTAGCGGCCTCTGGGCATCTGCGCCCGCGGCTGGGCCCTGGCCCTGGGGGCGCGACGTGGTGTAGGGCAGGGACCCGGCCAGGACTGCCGCCTTTAGAGGATGGATACCGTTCCCCGCAGGGGAGTTGGGAGAACGGGCTTCTCGGCCCCCGCCAGCAGGAACTCTTGTGCGCACGCATCCACTCTGGCACCCACGGGTTGGCACGCAGCAAGGCGGAGGTGGGGAGGGTTGAGACCCCTGAGGCTTGGTCATTGCCAGCCTTTCCTTCCCATCCAGAGTAAATTAGGACTTCCTTGTGGATTGGAGTTTCTGCTGGGCCCGTGAAGGCTGCCTCAGTGTGGGATGATTCTCTATTTCCCCATCCAAGGATGCTTCCCTCTTCCCCCTAAAATCTTGACCTCTTCTTTCACTTCTTGCTAGTGTTTTTTGATACTTCGCTGGACGCAGGTTTGCACCCACCTCTAGAAAACCAGCGATTAAACAGCAAGGTGTAGCTTGCTGGAAACAGGAAGAGTTTCTTCTCTCTGGGGCCCAGAGCTTATTAACCTGGAAGCTTTGCCTGCTCAGCAAGCTGCCTGGGAACTGTTCGCACCTCTGCTTTTGACTGAGGGCCCAGTAACAGCACTTTCCATCCTGAGTCCCCCAGCTCTTTTAGGGGCCAAATACTTGTCACATTTAAGTAGAAACCATTCCTGGAGGGAGTAGACCCGCACTGCTTGCAGAATTGGGTTGCTAGCAGTCATCTCTTGCTTGGACTGAGATAATAAATCCCTGCAAGAAAACAAGAACTTCCTTTTATTGAAAGAGTTGTGCTGATAGCTACCTAGTTCAAACAGTGGCCATTTGTAGGAACTGTCATGTTAAAGTAGCATCAGATACAAGACAAATGCATCCAGAATACTGTACTTTGGCCCTGGCCATTGTCACACTTGGGTTACATGAGCTAAACAGGGGTCAGAAAACTTTTTCTGTAGAGGTCACATAAATATTTTTGACTTTGTGGACCTGTGTCAGCTACTCACCTCTGCCGTTGTAGTGCAAAAGCAGCAGGAGACAATGCAGATTTGGCTCATGGGTTTGTACGGAGGAGATTGCTTAACCTTCCTTCCGAATTGTAGCTGGTGGGTTTGAACCACCAGCATTCTGGTTAGCAGTCAAGTGCCTTAGGCACTATGCTACCAGAGCTCCCAATTTTAACACTATATGCAAAAGTCTTTTGAAACTTGAAAGCCTCTGCCCTCATTGAGGTAAGCAGCAACACTCGCTTCAGTAGAATTTTTAAAACAGACATACAAACTGCATGATTTTCTTTTCCCCCTTGCCCAGGACTTTCAGAGTAATGCAACAGAAGGCTTTTGAGGAAAGCAGATACCCCTGGCAGGAATCCTTTGAGAATGTTGCTGTGTGCCTGCCATTCCGCTGCCCGAGGTGTGGAGACCATACCAGATTTAGAAGTCTGTCGTCCTTGAGGGCCCATCTGGAATTCAGTCACAGCTACGAGGAAAGAACCCTCTTGACAAAATGCAGTCTCTTTACTTCCCTCAAAGACACAGACTTAGTCACTTCCTCAGAACCCCTGAAACAGGGAAAGTTGCAGAGCGGTGGCAATGTGGTAAAGCAGAAACCAAGCTATGTGAACCTGTATAGCATTTCCCATGAACACTTAAAGGACAGGAAGCCATTTGAGGTGGTGGCAGAGAGGCCTGTGTCCTACGTGCAGACCTACACTGCGATGGACCTGCGTGCAGACTCACTGGATGGACCACTGTCAAGTTCCGGACTTCCCACCTCTGACACCAAAGCTTCTTTTGAGGCACATGTCAGAGAAAAATTTAATCGGATGGTTGAGGCTGTGGACAGAACCATCGAGAAGCGAATTGATAAACTCACCAGAGAGTTGGCCCAGAAAACTGCTGAACTCTTGGAAGTTCGGGCAGCTTTTGTGCAGCTGACTCAGAAAAAACAGGAAGTGCAGAGGCGAGAACGGGCCCTGAATAGACAGGTGGATGTAGCAGTGGAAATGATTGCTGCACTGAGGCAACGCCTGACAGAATCTGAGGAAGAGCTTCTTAGGAAAGAAGAGTAAGTGGCACTGAAACAGGATAGTACTTCCCCTGAGCCCCCAATCACACACATATCACCAGTTAAGCAAGGTTTGGTTTCTATTATCTGCAGATGCCTTGGCTGCATTTCTCATTGATACAGTTAAACTCAGGAGGCATAAGGCTTTTGACTGCATGATCTACAGTCTACTTCTAAAACATCAGCCATTGAAAACCCTACTCTGACACACGTAGATTCACCATGAGTCAGAGTTGACTGGATGGCAGTGGGTAACAGTGGTGCATAGTCTGCAGCCCAGCAACATTGAAATCAAAGGGTCTCATTCTCTGTTATCTTGGAAGGAATAAACTACAGATGTTTTCAGACAGAGGAGTTGGGCAGTCTAACTGTTGTGGGATCCATTCCCAGTACCAACTGGTGAGGAAGGGTGAGTGGAGTAAGAAGGCAAATGGGACATGCTGGGTGATCCATTCCTTCACTGACAGTCTCCGTGTTTTAAAGTTCAGAATATGAGGTGCTGCCTTACTCAAATACAAAAACATGCTCCATATGCAAATAATTTTGACAACTTTGCTGTTTTGGATTATCTGCCCATCTCAATTAAATTCCAATAGCTTAGAATCCATTTAACTATAATGTATGTGTAAGCAACCACTAGGAAACAACTAGAAACCCAGATGAAAGGCTTTTGGATATTGTTGTACTTCTATGATTTAAGTTTGAGAATTTACTTTTTATAAAGGGATGGATGGTAAGTCCCACCCCCTTGCAAAGAATTGACACAGATTTTCACAAGTTATAAAAGCCATTGCTTTAAAAAGCATCATGCTTAGAGAAGCATTTCCTTATCAATAAGTATGGATTCAGAAGCTCTGGTGGCACAGTGGTTAGAGCATTCTGCTGCTAACCGAAAGGTCAGCAGTTTGAACCTACCAGCCACTCCATAGGAGGTAGATGAGGCAGTCTGCTTCCATAAAGATTCACAGTGTTGGAAACCCTATGGGGGCAGTTTTACTCTGTCCCGTAGGGTTGCTATGAGTCAGACTCGACTAAATGATAGTTGATCTGGTTTGGTTTTTAAGGATGGCTTCATCCCAAACTAGAAAGGTATATGTAACACTGCCATGCATTTCCGAAACGCAGAATGTTAGATTTCATTTTAAATAAAGGTTCAGAGTTCATGGGATCAAAGAACATGAAAATTGATAGACCAAAACATCCTAGAAGGTAAGTTTTCAAATAATTTGAAGTCCATTATAGAGACTGATTTAATTTCAGACTTCTTTTGCCCTATGACACTCTTCTATCTTGTGTTGTCTCTTAAAATGTAGTAATTAAAGCTTCCTCCATTTGATACAAGGATGAAAAACCCTGTATATTAAAGAGATCATCACTTGCTATCACTAAATGCTCACATTCTACCTAGAGGGATTCTGCCCTGCTCAGACTTAATTAATTACAGAGTTAGGATGGATTTGAGTAAGCCATTGATTTACTTTGCTTCTAGGGAAATGATCTTTAATGATCTTTAGTGAAAAATGTTTCTCTCTTGGCTTTTGGTAGTTGCTGGTAGGAAGTTAGTGCCATGACACATATGGCCACTAACCTAACATCACTGGAAAGACGGCAGATAGAGCTGCCCTATATGCAGAGAAAAGCTTAGAATCAATACCTTGACTCAAGAGCAGTGAACTTAAAAGGCAATGAAATTAGTCTTGTATATGTAATTGTTTTATTTAATAATTATAAAAAGTAATAATGAACATGGGATTTGGGGTAGTGATTGCCACAGTTTGAAGGACTCAATATGGTGGATGGAAAGACCGTATGGTTCTATTGTCAAGAATCTAATTTTTATTTTTGGTCATGAGATCAAGGGTGCTTTATTATTAAAAGTAACTGATTAACGAAATAAAAGGGAGCCATGCATATGCCAATAATGATAATGGGTCATAAACCAATTTTTATGATTAATGCTATGCTGTTACTTGAGGACCAATTGAAAAATCATGTGTTTTAACTCACAGGCATGGTCCCCCCTCATCCTCTAGAGACTGCTTCTGTTAAGTTCTGTGAATGTCTTTCCAGATATTTCCTGGGCACATAAAATCATATGTAATTTATGTACACATATAAAGCTTCTATTTTTTTTTTCCAAATGCAATTGTGACACATATTATTCTGACAGTTGTGTGTGGAGTTTGTAATATATTGATGGTATCTTTCATGCACTAACTGTAGAATTATATCATTTCTTTTGACTATTACTTAGTATTCCATGGTGTGACTACATCATGATTTATTTAACCAGTTTGCAATTGATGAATACTTCGTTTTGTTCCATTTTCCTCAGTTAACATCCTTGTACATATATCTTTTTCTTAACTACATGTATGTTTGTGAATATATCTCAGAGTAAATTATGAGTTGGTTTTTCATATACCATTTTTGGGTTAACAAAAAAAAAGCAGTGACATTGAAAAATGAATAAAAATGGAATGAAATTATTGCAATTTTTAGATGTAAAAATAAACAAAGTCTTCATTTTTTTAAAGCCTCCATTTGGAGCTAGCCCATCTGTTTATGTATTCAAGCCTCAAATAATCACTTTTTCTGTACGTAAAATGGGGACTGAGAGAGTCTTGTTTCCAGGAAGGACACTGAAGCTCTTGGTCTGAGATAGTGGCTATGGACAGCACCCTCAGTGTCTAAGCAGCCCCATCTGAGCAGGGGTACAGAGTGAGCCAGCTGCCAGCTGCCACTCTGTCAATAGCGGGGGTGATTTAACTGAGCTGCTTGGCTGGGCCATGCCTCTTCCCTCCTCACCACATACTTGGGGTCCCTCCTAGAGCTAGGCCTTCCACCAGAGGTGACCTTCCCAGAAAACAGAAGACTATGTTTGGCCAAGGACATGTCAGGAGCTGTTCTCCCTTGCTAAACTGGTTGCCATCCAGTTGATGTCAACTCATGATGACCCTCTGTGTTAATAGTGTAAGATTTTTGAAGCTCTGACTTTTGTAAATAGATGACCAGGACATTCTCCCCAGACGCCTCTGGGCAGATTTGAACTGCCAACCTTTTGGTTAATAGTCTAGCGCTTAACCGTTAGTGCCACCTAGGGACATTCTCTCCCCTGCTAAACATCTCTAAATGAGCTGTGAAGGTCCATTTGTAAGAGAAAGTAGGTTACTAAGGTCCCTTTTGAAATGAACTTAAACTCTGGAAACCCTATGAAACAGAGTAAAGTTTTGTTTTTCTTTAAAAAAAGTGCATACAGCTAAAAATTTTAACTTTCTAATAAGGCTTTCTTGCTTATGGATCTTTTCTCAACTTTAAAATTCTTTCTTTTAAACTAAAATAAAAGGCTGTAGGGCTGATTCTGTCCCAAGACCATCTCTATGCTGAATTGCCTTGGCTTGAGGAGGTATTTTGAAGTGGCAATATTTGTACTTTTATATTTGTGCTTTTATACTGGTGAGGCTCATTGTACCTCAGTAGAGAGGTTTTTGTATGTTTATGTGGTGCAAATCCAAGAACAGTTGCTCATCATCTTTAGAAAGTCAGTGTAACTTTAAAAGTCCTACTGAAACAGGTATTTACTTATTTAAGAGAATTGAGACCTGATGGGTGTCAAGCATTACCTGTAATCAGGTAAATCAATCCTGGTCAACCTTGCTGTCAGGTATCCCTTAACAAGAACGGGCATTCTTAGATCATAGCACAATTCCTGGCCAAGTTGATCTCCTGAGTTTTAGAGAACTTCAGAGTAATAATAGTAATTCAAAATTTATTTACACACTCTTGCTCTGGTAAGGTTGGAAATTCTGAATGAGAATCTGTGATGTGATCAGCACTGTGCTAGAAGTGGGGAGGTGCATGCTCATGGTGGGGCTGTAAAATTCTTAATGCTTTTCTTGGAGAAGTTTGTGCTCTACATTGTTGTTGGCAGGTGCTGTTGAGTCTCTTCCGACTCATGACAACCCTACATAGAATGAAATGCTGCCCGCTCCTGCACTATCCTCACAGTCATTACTGTGCTTGAGCCCATTGTTGGCAGCGATCATCTCCACCAATCTCATTGAGGGTCTTCTTCTTTTTCGCTGATCTCTAGTTTACCAAGCATGATATTCTTCTCCAGAGACTGATCTCTCCTAATAACGTGTCCAAAGTTCACAGTCTTGCCATCCGTGCTTCTAAGAAGTACTCTCACTGTACTTCTTCCAAGACAGATTTGTTCATTCTTTTGGCAGTTCATGGTATATTCAGTGTTCTTCACCAACATCATAATTCAGATGCATCAGTTCTTCACAGTCTTCCTTATTCATTGTCTAGTTTTCACACGCATAAGAGGTGATTGAAAATCTCCTGGCTTGGGTCAGGTATACCTTAGTCTTCAGAGTGACATCTTTGCTCTTGTGCAGCTGATTTACCCAATGCAATGCCATTTGATTTCTTGACTGCTGCTAACATGGGTATTGATTGTGGATCCAAGTAAAATGAAATCTGTAGCAACTTCAGTATTTTCTCTATCTATGATGTTTCTTACTGTGAGGATTTTTGTTTTCTTAATGTTGAGATGTAATCCATACTGAAGGCTGTCTTTGATCTTTATCAGTAGGTGCTTCAAGTCTTCTTTGCTTTCAGCAAGCAAGGTTGTATCATCTGTGTGTAGCAGATTGTTAATGAGTCTTCCTCCAATCCTGATGCCATGTTCTTCTTCATATACTACAGCTTCTTGGATTATTTGCTCAGTTTACAGATTGAATAAGTGTGGTGAAAGGCTACAACCCTGACCTATACCTTTCCTGATTTAAAACCCTAACATCCTCTTGTTCTTGTTCTGCTAGAAACAACTGCCTCTTGGTCTTTGTACAGATTCTTTACGAGTACACTTACTTGATCTGAATTCCCATTCCTCACAATGTAATCCATAATTTGTTTTGATCCACACAGTCACATACCTTTGCTTAGTCAACAAAACACAGCTAAACATCTTTCTGGTATTCTCTGATTTCAGC